TGAAGTAGTCTTGAGCGAGTTGCATCGTAGACTTCAGCCTGCGCTTTATAGAAGCTTTCCTGCGGAAGTTAGAGTGACATTATATTGCAAGACGAAGTTGGTCGCACAAGAGCATCTTGTTGACTGCCGGTCCCATCGCCTGTATGCGGTTTCACAAAGCATGCATAGAAGAACCTGAAGTACGCTTTGATGGCATCAGTAGCCTCTGTGGGGTCTTTTTTCGAGTTCAAAGCAATTAGGAAGACGGAAGTGAGGAATACGCCAAGTATCCAAAGAGCAATGGTGACCATTTGCAGCGGATCCCGAGGGATCACTGCTGAGATACCTAGCATTATTGCGACAAAGATGAGTAAAGGCTATGAAAATTAGAGCGCGAAGGGACCTAGAAAAGAGCGGGACACTGAGTCTGCTGTTATAACATGATATACCGAAGTAATCCGATGTCGGGTGCACGATATTCATCCACATGATGGTGATGTTGCCAACAGGAAACGCCGAAGATCCAATGGGCCCAAGTTGAAGCATGACAGCCAGTTAAATTGAACACATGGCAACCCGAAACGGACCTGTGTTTCTTTACAATGCTCGTGGTCAACGTTGAGGGGCAGTTGTGGTTGGACAAGTCGTCGATCGCTGCTCCGAACCGCTATCAGCGGCTATGTTTTGCAGGGCAAAGGACGAGACTAGAAGTCTAGAAAGCTTCGTTTAATTGTGGGGGTTGGAAGGTGTCTGTGAGCCTATAGAAGCATAAAGCCGTTCCCCGTGCGCAACGTCTCTTAGTGTGAAGGTAGAGCGCGACGTTGGGGCGAGCCAATCACAGACGCCTAAATTTCCCGTGGGTGAAGCGCGAATGATTTGTGTTGCCGTCTAGCCCTGCCTAGTATACCATCAGATCTGCTCCCGTGTCAAGATAAGGTGCGGCGGGAATGGTGTAAGTGAACCTTGTTGGGGTATCAGGGAAATTCCATTTTTCGAATAGACTCAGGTCAGGGCGCCAAGTCAGAAACTTTCAACAGCGCTTGTCAGTACGCTTTGGTAGATACTCGTTCCTCGGCCAGGTAAGACAGACAGTACGGGAGGGACACCGGCAGTTTGTGTTAGCAATTGCTAGTTCGATAACGAGGCGTCACCAAAGGAAGGTGCTTGTCCCGCTCGAAATCCTGGCGAACACTTGTTGTACGTCGCTAAAAGCTGGGTAATTAACTGCGGGTGATGACTGGCCAGCTATGGTTTTGATTCTTGGTACTTATCTATCGAATATCAGTACAACCGCTATAGTCTGCGGCATGGGTGCCCTTGAACTCCAACCATGACCCGCTTGCTCCACGCTACAGAAGCAGACACCCAAAGCTCTCTATGCATAGAAGTTCACGGTGTCCTTCTTCTTGGCCTGGACTTCCGAAATAGCATCCACGTAATGCTCGTGACTGATCTTCTGCTGAGCAGACCTCAATGCAATCATACCGGCTTCCACACAGACAGCCTTCAGCTGTGCACCACCGAATTCATCTGTACTGCGCGCAAGTTCCGGCCAGTTCACACCCTCGTCAACCGTCATCTTGCGGGAGTGGATTCGAAGGATCTGAGCACGGGCTTCCTCGTTTGGCAGGGGGAATTCGATCTTTCTGTCCAAACGACCAGAACGTAGAAGAGCAGGATCCAATACGTCCACGCGATTGGTAGCGGCGAGAACCTTGACCCGATCATCCGATGCGAAACCATCCAGCTGGTTGAGCAATTCTAACATAGTTCGCTGCACTTCTCTGTCACCCGACTTTTCGGAGTCGAAACGTTTTGTGCCAACAGCGTCAAGTTCGTCAATAAAGATGATAGAAGGTGCCTTTTCTTTCGCCAGAGCGAAGCAATCTCGGACTAACTTAGCGCCATCACCGATGAACATCTGTACGAGCTGAGGACCGGCGAGTTTGAGGAAGGTAGCATCGGTTTGCGCGGCGCAGGCTCGGGCCAGGAGAGTTTTGCCAGTACCGGGTGGTCCGTACATTAGAGCACCTATGATTCGGAGTTAGTGAAGTTCCAGTGTACGCAAACTTCATTCCAAAGGACGTATACCTTTAGGCGCCTTGATACCGATCTTCTTGAATCTCTCCGCCTCCTTCATCGGCCATACTACTGCCTCCACAAGCTCCTCGATTTGTTTGTCCAGGCCTCCGACATCAGTGTATTTCTCCGTCGGCTTCTCATCGACCTCCATAGCCTTGACTCTGCTGTCATATTCGGCGGGTAATGTGTCCAGAACGAGATATGAGTCCTTGTTCACACCGATGAGATCGCCAGGCTTGAGCTTCTCATGATCCACTAGGCCGATAAGAGGAAGGAAGATCGTTTGCCGGGTTGAGGTTTTGATGACAGCGGACTTGCCCACACGAGTGGCGTCGAGGTCGATGTTTGCGCCCTCTTCGGCGGCTTCGGCGGTGACATCTAAGTCGAGGATCTCAACGACGTTGCCGACAAGGTATGGTAGTTGCCTTGTTATAGTTAGCATGACTGCTTGGTAAATTATGGTCATGGCTTGTGAGGCGGCGTCGCATACCTGTTGTTCTCGATCTTGTCTAGATTGTCCTTTATCTTCTCGTGCATAGACGACTTCTCATGGGACAGCCGCTGAAACTCGCTCCTCATGATCCGCGTGTCATTCTCTAATAATCTCCGCCGTGCTACTATGTCTCGTGTGCTGGAGTTGAGAATCTCCTCGTCCAGTACATCTTCCGGCTTCTCCCCCGACTCAGCGTCCTTCATCTCCGCATCATTCTTCTCCTCGCGCTCGAGGTCCTCAAGGTTTTCGAGAGTTGCCATGTTGGTGGTGAGGTTGTAGAGTGGTGGAGCTGTTGTTTTGTAGTTGGGTGCTTAAGTTGAGGCAGCTGTCGCTGACGAACCCCAGCTTCGATCCATGCCAAGGCCGACGCTAGTCTAGATCACGTGTCGTCGTCGGCTTCTTCTACTTTCTGTTCGTCACCATCGACCTTCAATAGAACCGGTCTCCAACGACAACAACAATATCCATAATCCAGAATGAGCCATCATAGAGCTGGACGAATGCCTTGCGAATATCGACAAATTTTCAGAAGTGTATTAGAATATCAGTATAACTCCTAGAAAGGGAAGGCTAGATATCGTGAAGGTGACGACCGATAATGGACATGGTAGCGGCTCAATTGCGTTATGAATATACGTTTAATGAGCTAATACTAAAGTCATATATAGAAATTGACAAGTTTAGTTTTAATTTTCAGCCTAACAACCTTTACACGTTATTTTATGTTTACGTATGGGCGTGAGGTGCCTCGAGTGGCTTATTAGCTTCGCACACTACATGAGTTATAGCTCCAATTTCCCGTCAATATTACAGACCTGATTTACAGGTTTGAAACCTTCCCATTCAGTTTTGCATTTCGTCTATAGGTGTAAGGTAATTGACAGCCGCTATACAGAAAAGCCCTATTACAGGGCCTAGAAGACTTCACATCTAACTTGCGGTAAGGAGTGGAATGACCCATTCTGCAGTCCCACAACTTGTGCGTTTCGCTTCTCGTTTCGTGCGCCTGGGTAGGTGGGAAAAGTGGCTTCGTACTCAAGTAGGAGCACGTCTAATACTCGACTCCGAAGCTTCTACATTCCATCTAGACTTTTGATACTGTGTTGAAGCCCTCCTAGCATGAGTAGGCAAGTAGTATAATGTCACTATCACTGCCGTTTATTGTGCTGTGGAAGAAGTGCCCAGTCTCATCCTCGGCCTTCCTCTCTTCCACAATGACAGAAGCGAGATTCGGTCATGCTATATGTGCCGCCTCTTGCCACCGCTTAGAGTACTCTGGCCTATCATCAAGGTTCTAGAACAAGTGTAGAAATGTAGGCATCGCCGGTTGGCCAGGTTTTGAAACAGCCATGATCGACTCCCTACCATGCAAGAACCTCATTCAGCGGCGACCAAGTGCGTATACTACCCACAAATACCCGATGAAATCTATGTTGTGAGGCATATTACATTTCTTCCAGATTCGCACAGACGAGCTGGAGTACTTCAAGCAGTATCATATCGAGTTTTTTATCAGCGTATTGAGCAAGCAAGAGGTCGGGCTCCCGACCTTCACAGCTCAGCGAAAGATCTAATTCACTAGATACTTTTAGGCCATGGTGCCTATGGAAAGACTTCAGGATAATCGGAGCGAAGATTGTCTCGTAGAGAGCGGTACAGGGTTTCGATATCTACATAGTCGACTTTACGTTTCTTAGCTGGTTAGAGGTCTTGAAAATGGATACTTATGCGACCCCGTCTGGCAATGTTGATAATATAATAGGGGCTTCCTGAAGTCTGTAGTATTGATGAGTTCTCGATGTAATCTCTGCTCACGGTATTGGGATGTGCAATTTTGACATAGATTTAAAAGGTTTAACAGCCTCTAGAAGTAGACCGTGAGAATAGGACTAAAACACCATTTTATGCACGCCAGTTTTAATGTGCGGAGTCCATACGTCGATAGCCTTCTAAAGGACCTTGTAGGCAGCTCCAAGGCCCTTATACCGTAGAGAAATAGGCTTCTTTGTGAACGCTAAAGGAGGGGGTGGTTGGAATAAAATCACCGCCACTTCCCCTGGCTCCGAGACGACATGTCAAAGGCAGCGATAAAGAGCCGCCACTACGATCGGTTTCGGCCGCAGACATAATTATCTAGGCTGTAAACTTTAAATATAAGAGCTTTGTCCCAGTAGATTCGTTTGCTGCTCGAATGTATAATTTATCCAGAGTTCGCACTATGCATGGGCGTATTCATCATTGATACCGAACACAGCGAACGCTAAGAGCAGTCCCCATATTTTCAGCCATTTCATAGGCGTAACATGATCCATTTCAATGCGCCTTGGCTGCTCGCTCGCTTATTTCCCGCGTTCTAGAGAATCTCCGCGGCTGCTGTGAAAGTCGTCAAAGCTGTATTATCTGCCATCCTATATATATTATACAATCGGGCTGCAGTCTTTCCATAGGCACCATGGCCTAATGGTAAGGCGCTACTTTCCGGTGGTAGAGACTGAGGGTTCGAGTCCCTCTGGTGTCGCAGAATCTGCAATTTTTTTGATTTTGCATGTGGTGGTGTGAGTGAATTTTTGCTTCGGAACGCGGAGGAGGGGCAGACAGTAAAGAACGCCACTATTTGCGGAGCAATTCCGCGTAGTTCAAGCTATGAGGACATGTCTATGGAATGTATGAACATCTGTTTTAGTTCACTAGGTGGAGATTATACGATTACATCGTAATTAAATTAGGATAAGATATCGAAATTCTATGGCGTTGATGTTTCCTCATTCCTATATTCTGGAGACCTAGATTGCCCCTGATGAACATCTCTACACTTCGACTAGCTTTTCTTTGAATGTCAAGCTCTTTGGTAGTCGACCCTCATAATACCGGGTTAAGCGATTCTAAGCGAGCATCACTTCATCTCTGGAACTTGCGTCCCTCTCATCTCTTCTCAACCATCCACTCCTTTAGTGCGTCACCATGGCTCACTTTCTTCGGGGGCTCAGCCAGGTTTGTTGAAACGTGCATTGGCTTCGGATCATTGCTGATTTCTGCCAAGGCATGCCGGCGATCACTCCGCGTCCCTAGCGGTGCAGTCCCACGCCACAATTATCCAGGAAGAACCTCTACCGCTAGCAAGAGTACTCGGGTAATCCACGACTCGAGCACAAGCCGTGCAGCAGCAGCCGCGGTAGGTTGCACATCCGTTTGCATTTTGATGCTATATTGATGTTGAAACAGCACTTCCCCGCTTCTCCGCATCTGGAATCGTCTCTCAAGACTCCGATCGTGGAAGGGACAGCTATCAAAGCGTACTCGGACACTGTCAATGACTTCGTGGGCATGTGAGTGTTTCCCTTCGGGCTCTTAAGGCTGTATTTATACTAACCCAATATGTTCCACATAGCCCGAACATTTGGCTGAGGTCTGCCAAATCCCCGCTTCAATTTGTCAAAGACTCACTCGATTAGGGATAATTGCCAATGCAGCGCTTGCGTGCATGATGTTACCAAGCAGCGACTTCTCGACACTTTCAAGGTACCCTAACTCAAAACCTCTGCATCATATGGTTTTAACGAATGCCTAGATTCCGCGAGACATCTCTGTCAAATCAGCTGTGAAAGACGATAGTGGAGTTCGAGTTTCTTGCAAGTGTTCTAGAGTACTGAATGGAGAAGACACACTAACCAGTCTATAGGGAGTGATGGCCATGAGAGCTATTACAACGACGATTTCCTCGCCCAAGCCGCCTTGAAGAACAATGGTGTAATACGTCAAGGCCTCGAAAAGTATGAGACGTCTCTGAGACAGCTACTGGGTCCTGCTAACCTCTTGCTAGAACCACACTCTGGTACAGTTCAATCAGCGACAACCCCCCAATTGTCCAATACGAAGCCGCGATGAACTCCGACGAAGGACTAAAAGAGTGGCTCTCCAAAATCGTAACCCCCCCTATTACCCCCTATATTCCACCCCTCACTAACCCCTCCCAAGCGCGAATACGGCTTCTGCTACATCGACAACACCCCCGCCACCCCCTCCGCCACCTCGCAGCTCCTCGAGCGCATCTCCTTCATCCGCGTCACCCACTACGGCGGTTTCTACGACTTCACCTCCGACCTCGCCTCCAAAGACACCGCCTACACCAACATCGCACTAGACGCACACACAGACACGACCTACTTCTCCGACCCAGCCGGCCTGCAAGCCTTCCACCTGCTCTCGCACACAGACGGCAGCGGCGGCGCCTCGCTCCTCGTCGACGGCTTCCGCGCCGCCGCCGACCTCAAGGCCCAGGACCCGCAGGCCTACGAGCTGCTCAGCCGCGTCAACGTGCACGCGCACGCCAGCGGCAACGACGGCATCAGCATCCAGCCCTACCGCGGCTTCCCCGTGCTGCTGCACGACGAGCGCGATGGGCGCCTGCTGCAGGTGCGCTGGAACTCGAGTGATCGCGCGGGGGTCGAGTTGCCGCTTGAGGTGGTTGGGGGGTGGTATGAAGCTGCTGCGTATGTTTTCCTCCCCTTCCTTTCCCTCCTTCCCCCCACTTTTAGTTGGGTTTTCCGAATAACAACTAACCTGCGTGTCTCGACAACAGGAAATGGCACGCCTTGATCTCCGCGCCGGAGTATGAGTACTGGTGCCAGCTCACACCCGGCCGCGTCGTCGTCTTCGATAACTGGCGCGTCATGCACGGCCGCTCGGCGTTCACGGGGAAGCGGCGCATCTGTGGCGGGTATGTGAACCGGGATGACTTTATCTCGAAGTTCAAGGTGCTGAAGTGGGGGCAGGAGGGGGTGTTGAAGGCGCTTGCGGTGGGTTAGATGGGGTGTAGAGCATTAGTTAGGGGACGCATGGGATTGATTCCAGTATCATAGAAGTTGCGGGCCGGCGAGGTTGATTGTGGGATATCAGCGGTGCATTATCTGAGCGTTGGGAGGAGTTTATGAGTGAAGCGTATTGAGCGGAGGGATAGTCGGTTATGATGAGATGGTGCGATGCGATGGGATGGTTGAAAGGGGACATGCGGTGCGATATCCAGAGTTGCTCTAGTGAAGGTATTAAATTAAAGAAAGTCTCTAGATTAGTGCTCGGGCACTACTCTCTATACACTACCTCATCACTATCTGAAGTCCCCCGAGCGATTATCCGACCTGATGTCGATCTACTCACTCAAGACCTGGGCCGAGCTCCTAGTAATTTTGACTAGCCTAATACCCAACCATGCCACCTCAACATTGAAGTAGACAGTAAAGAGACACAATGAGCCGGAGCACGTAGGTAGTGGACCAACCAGTGTACTCCATTCATCTTTGATTTAGCCCATGATCCATCTCTCCCAACAACTATATACCCGCCCAAAACTCGTCACACCCTCACCGACCTCACCCAAACACACCACTTATCACCTCAATCATCAAACCCATTCTGAAAACCGCTGCAACAAACAACAACAAGATTCCACCATTCCTCAAATTACGTCCGCATACCACGGAGTAAAGATGCAACGGGTACGTAGGTGCTAGGGTAAGGAGTCTACTGATTCGGATGATTCTCGATGTCGGGGGAAAGACGAAGCCTCAAAAGAAAAAGAAAAAATCCTAGCTACACGACTAAACTGCCGCCCGCCCTCGCCCGCCCCCGTTTTCCCTTTGGTCGCCCACTCTCTGTAATCGTTTGATCTTCAACTCCATTTCTTCAAATCACCCCATCTTCAATTCATCAACTATGCCCCCCAATCCCATCATTCCCTCCCATATTTTCAAATTCCCTCAATCAGCTTCATGCGCCACGACGCACAAAAAGAGAGAGAAGGAGAAATAATTCGCAACTCACTAAACGACACCGCTTTCCCTCTTGACGCCATTCCACCTGTGTAAAAGACAAAAAATCATCAAACGCCGGGGTTGTGTGGGTGTTTTCATGCAGGCTGGCTCCAGAAGGGGTGGGGGTAATATGAATCCCTCGAAAGGGAGAATGATGTGGTATATTTGGACTAAGGCGGGAAGAAGGTTATTTGAAAAAGCTGGCACTCGGCTTTTTATGATTGCAATCCAACGAAACAGCCACTATGCTCATTGCGTGGCTACAGCGTCGCCGTTTGTTTGCTCAGCAGCGACTGCCTGCTGGGCGAGAAGGTCGGCTTGGTGGACGGCGGCCTGGACGACCTGCTGTTCTTCAGGGTTCAGGTTCTTGGTGAGATTGTCGTACAACGCTGGCTGTTCTTGTTGGAGCTCTGGTTATAAAAGTTAGTGATAGGTCTTGGGAGGGGCGATGGCTTTGCACTTACGCATCAGAGCATTCTTGAACATGCTGTATGGCTCTACTTTGTCAAGAGGAGTTTCGAGCAAGCTCTCTTCCTCAAGCTCGTCGTCATCTTCGTCGCTAACGGCAGTGAACTTCTGGGCCTGGAGATCATTAGCTTTGAACGCTTCCCCGAGTTTGGTGCCACTTGCCTCTTCGTTCAAGAACTCCAGATACGCCGCACTCTCATCTTTGACATCTTCAGTTTCATCGGCCTCGTTGTTCCACTGATCTTCGTTACCATCCCACTCTTCCTCCTCCTCGTCATCGTAGTCATTCCCAAAGTCGTAGTTTTCTTCCTTCTTGGCTTCTTCTCGGTCTAGATTTCATATTAGTGTTGTTCATGCCAACAGACTTGAATAGGAACACTTACTCTTCAGAGCAGCAGGAAGGGTCTGGAAGAGCCGAACAATGCCTTGCAGAAGTCGAGGCCAACCTTGCTGAACGCTGATAGGAACAAGCTCGGCTCGCAATGTAAGAAGTGCGCAAATTGCAGAAATGGAGAGCTTTTTGTCGTGAACGCGGGTGAAGCTGTCAATGTTGGAGAACCAAAGGCTGAAGAACTTGTTCGTCCAGTTGTTGGTCTCCAGCATATGAAGGGCGAGCTGGGGGTTGTAGTAGATTCCGTTGACAACCACCTCCATGAGGTGTATCCGTAGAGATTTGACCTTGGGCTCGTCGTTTGTGAGGACCACCATGGCAAGCTGGATGAACTCGGGAACATACTCGTCAACGTGACCGCGCATGTTCAGCATGATAATCTCAGCAAGCTTGCATCCGCATATCCTGTCGACGCCATTCACCTTATCGTCCTTGAAGATAGTGCGGACCATGTCGATGATGGCGTCCAGGTAGGGTCGGTTTTGGATGAGGGTCTCGGAGCCGTAGTTGACAAAGTTTTCTAAAGCCGGGAGCATATCTACGAAATGTCAGCATGTGTTGGCAATCTTCGATATAATGGTTATACCTTCTAGATAGAGCTCGGCGCCGGCTTTGAATGTGCGATGAATAAGCTCAAACGCCTGCCACATGGTAGGAGAAATGCTCTTGGCAGCAAAAGTGCAGCTGTCAATGATTTCGAAGACTTCGTTGTACAAATCTAATGTCGCGTTAGTAATTGTGGCTGATACGGTATGAGATACGGACCGTATAGTTTGTTCTCAAGAGTGATAGTAATGACTGGCATGAGGATCGTTTCCAAATGCAAAAGCACGTCCGGAGTGCTCTCCAGTG